CTCTCTCTCTCTCTCTCTTTCTCTCTCTCTCTCTCTCTCTCTCTCTCTCTCTCTCTCTCTCTATATATATATATATATGGAGGTTCAAACGAGAACTCCAGCGATTTACGAGAACGCGAGAACAACCCAATAACTCCAAACTCTTTTGATTAATAAATTAAATTATATTAAATACAAATAAATTATTAAGAGCAGTAATGTAATTAAGTAATTTTTATAATTTTTATTTTATTTTAATTAATTATAATTATCCCTTTTTTTCTTGGATTGATCACGTTCGTTTCCACTCTCTTCTCTTCCTTTGTGATAATTGTGTGATTGTGTAACCATAACATATCGAAACCATAATGATCAATCAAGTGTAACCATAATCTATCGAAACCATGAGTAATCGTTGTGATAAATGTGTGATTGTCTAACCCTAACCAATCGAAACCATGTTCAAATTGAGTGCGCAAGTGATGTTATAATAGTGATATCGCATGATTATCACACCCATATCACACCAAATCGTTTAGTGGATTTCGTCCGTAATCATTGTGATAAATGTGTGATTGCCTAATCCTAACCTATCGAAATCATGAGTAACCGTTGTGATAATTGTGTGATTGTAAAACTTGAACCGATCGAAACTATGATCAAATCGAGTGCGCTGTTATGATATTGATATCACATGATTATCACATTCATATCACACAAAATCGGTAGTCGATTTTCTAAGTTAGCTCTTTATCACATCCAAATCGTGTTGAAATAAGCGATAACCATGATAGTCCATTATGTTATCCAGATTATTAGGTTTAATATGATCGTGTGTTTAAAATTTTATCACTTTGAATTGCAATATTACTCTTTTGTCTCTCAAATTTTTTGAATTGTTTTAATTTTATTTTTGATTTAAAAAATCTTTTAATTTTTATTGTTATCACAATATGTGATTAATAGATTATTCTCGCGCTTTTACAAACCTCCCCTATATATACACAGACGTTTTAATCTACTTTTTCTCTTAATAAAGTAACCAACAAACATCTTGGATTTTCCTTTTTATAGTTTATTTTAATGAACTAGATTCTTGATTGGTCACATGCTTTTGGTCATTGGCAATCAAATACCTACGATGTTGTGGTTCTTTACGGTCAGTTTATGATATTATTCATTATTTACACTGCAATTCTGAACTAAGGGGTCGTTTACCAAACGTTTATCCGGATAAGTGTTTACCAAGTAATATTATCTTATCGGATGAATATAGTAAGAACCAAGAATCTTACATGGTAAGAGCGAGACAAGGATCAGGAGTCCTACCCGGTAAGTAAGGGCGACAGACTCTTACCACGGTAAATGCTTATCGGGTAAATTATTGTATACAATGTCATTTGGGTGGACTAAAATCTTACCCGGCAAATACATAATAGTGTTGAATTTTACCAGTAAGTACTTACCGGGTAAATATTTGATAAACGACCCCTAAAACTATATATCGTTATTTATGATTAAGACATTCAAATAAGACATAATTTTTTAAAAATGATTTTCAATTAGAAAATTATATAACTCTAACTCTAACTAAATTCGTAATATTTAAATATGTTATTACATGTATTCGAGTTACATATTTTTGCCTTATAAATATTAACGTGATTGGTAATAAAAATCAGTAATATGACAAATATTCAAAAAAATAAATAAAATAATTATTTTAGCACATGGAGGGGACAATTCGATAAGTCGAGGCTTTGTCCATATGCTATTATCGTGGTGTATTATTTTTAGAGTGCCTCAATTTATTTCTTCTAATTTTTTTAAATTATATATATATATATATATATATAATATTTTTTACTAGATAATATCTAATAACATTCCATTTAAAGAGTTGTTTACCCAAATGTTTACCCTGTAAATTCTTACTTATAGGAATCAACGCTATAATTTACCTTGATGCGTAAGATTTTAGTACATCAAAATGTATCAAATGCAACAATTTACCGGGTAAGAGTCGTCATCTTCACTTACAAGGTAAGACTCTACATCCTTCTCATCGCTCTTACCTGATAAGATTCTTGGTCATTGTCATGTTCATCCGATAAGAAAATTTATCCGGTAAACATTTACCAAACAAGCGCTTAATAAACAGCCCGTAAGTTTGGATCATTGTTGGATTCTTCCCTTGCACAATTTGATAAGTTTTAGGCATCAACTGGATCTTTTCTCAAGTTTTTCGTCTTTTTTTAGTTACAAGCTATTTATTTAAAATAGGGTTATTTTTTATGTTGATTGAAATGGAAAACATCACATAATTAAGATACGGAATGCATTTTGGATGTGTATACAGGTTCAAGATTCATATATTTTGATAAAAGCAGTTGACTTATAAGAGTATGTAATAAAGACTGATCTTAAGGGTAATTTTGTCTTTTGTATTTATGTTAACTGGTTTATTAGACTAGTTGGTTTTCCGTTAATTGGTTATAGTTAGTTTAACCAGAGTTTGGATTCTTACTAATAATAGTTCAATTAGGGTTCTTGTATAAATAGGTTGTGTTTTTGTTGTGAAACAATATATAACTAAAAATTCTCAAATTTATAGACCAGCTATAACCAATTAACATAAAATACAAAAAGACAAAACTGCCCTTAAGATCGACCTTTAACAATACGATTGCAATATTTGGAAAGCAACTTAGAAGATCTTGGAAATGTTTAATATTAACATATCCAAACGAGTTCAAGACGGGTCCATGACCATGAGACTAACACATAGCTTTCACACTCAAATGTGGTTTTTTTTGCTTTTTGCCCCGAATCTTCACACTGTTTAGGAAAGAAGATATTTCCGTTCAAGTTTTTTATTGTAAAAGAAATGTTACTTAAGCACGGTAGGGAACGAAAAGCATGCTTCAAATGATGCACGAAAAAGACATCTAACAAATGTGGTTTTGCTTTTATTTTGATCATGTTGAGTCATTTCGTTGGCAGCTAAGACCAATTTACATCACGCCCATTAATGTCACATTATCACTTACAAAAGAATTCTACTAAAGAAAGAAATACAAAGAACGACCCTCCTCTAAACATGAATACGTGACCACCAAAACACTTGTCAATATTACCGATTTAACCCCTAAAGTAATGTTATTGTCAAAGTAAATGCGATCAAACCGTATTCATTTAAATTGGTATGATACGTTTTTCGTTTACCAAAAAGGGGCTTCGAATATCTATCGAGTATTAATAAAGCAACCATTATGTTATTCTTCCATTTGAAAGTTAAAATGTGCCTTTTTTTTATAATGGGGATTAAATATTGTATTAATTTCATGGAATTTTGGTATTTATTTATTTATTTATTTGTATTTATTACAATTATAATTTGATAAAATAATATGAGAATCAATAAATATAAGAACCGAGAATTTTACCATAGAACGATGACATAGACCAAGAGTTTTACCCAATAAGGGGCTGTTCGGTAGCAACTTAATAAGTTGTATAGGATGTATGGCTTATTCGGTAAGCATACAAGGTTGTTCGGTTGGCTTTATGAAACATATGATGGCTTATTCGGTCAGCTGGTAAAAGGGTGTGGTCTACATTCAGCCCTCATTTTTCCTTTCTTGCCCTTATGATTCACGCTGCCTCCCTTCTCTTTTCTCAGGCATGCCTCCTTAAAGAAGATGATGGTTTTGTAGCTCCTTGCTCCTCCTTTCCATCTCTCGATCTCTCTCTATCCCTCGTCCTCCATCTCTGAAACGAGCTTTCTCTCCATCTCCCAGATTTCGAACTGGGTTTAAATCAACATACGAGATTACATGTTCCTTGATCTTGATTTCGATTTGGGTCAAAGTCTTCTTTCAATTTTGAAACGAGCTCTCTCCATCTTGATTTCGATATTGATGTGGGAGTCTAGGGTTTAAGGAAGGCAAAATACCCATGCGGGTCTATGTGTGCGCTTTGTATAGGTGTGTGTGGGTGTGTGTTTTGTGTTGGTGAAGGCTGGAAGAGTGAGCCCCCCATTCCAGTGTCTGTTGCCGGCGAAGATTTTAGAGGGCTAGATAGCGTGGTGTTAGGGACGATGGTGAAGGGAGGGATAAGAAAAAAAAAGGAGGGTCTTGTTGGGGGTTTTCGATCGGAGCAAGGAAGTGCAGCGAACCTGTTCATTCCTTTTGGTTGGGTTACGTGAAGTGCAAAAGATTTCTTACCACCAACGTAGACATCACTACTTGAGACCATTCTTCATTGTAAATGGGACTGTAAGCATTAAATATTTGACTCTTTAGTTTCAATTTTGAATAATTGAGATCATAAAAGAAAAGAACAGTTGGAAATCCATTATGAATGGTTATACATGTATCTATCAATATTTTTATCAAACTCTTGTATTATTTAGACAACAACCACTTATCTGTTAATGTATAGACAACTATATCAATACAGACAACTATATCCATACAAGCTTTAACATAAAACGAATCAAACAGCCCCTAAGTGAGGATGATTATTTTTATCTAGTCGAACCTTCTACCTGAATATCGTTGTATTAGAGTTGCATTTGAGAAAATTAATAGATGGTAGATGTCATTCTTCAAAGTCGTTGCCTATGACTAATACATTTACATATGCGTACCATTTGAATAATCAAATTTATCAAAAACCCAACATCATCAACAATAAATATAACTTTAAACAATATACACATATCCAAATGTTATCTAATTGATCGTAATTTTAATATTTTTTTAATTATAATTAATGATTTGATTTTAATTATCCGTATAAAATAATAAATTTGATCATGATTCAAACGGGTCGGTTTGCTCCTTCTCTAGAACCCGAGTCTAATCTAATACGGAGCATCTTCTTCTTGATTGCAATGGAGAAGAGGAATCTGGAATTGAAGCTGAATGAAGGTCTTCAATGGTGAGATTGTTGTTGGATAATCGATACATAGAAGAGAAAGGGCTACCATATCGAGGAAGGAAGTCGTAAGTAAACTGAAAAACCCTATGTCACATCTCCATCTGTTCCCTGAACTTTTGAGTTTTCAAGTAATTAATTCCTTCCTGTAAGCACTAAAAACTAATATTGGTAGATGAATATATAAATCCATTGACGGAGATGAGTAGTTCTGAATTACATTTTCTTCACTATTTCCGTACAGAATTCACACATACAGAGAGAAGTAGAGCTGTAGTTAAATCAATACGAGAATTCAGGGACTGTGTATGCATGTGAAGGAGAACACAACAAACCAATATACTTTGCAGAAAATGATTGCTTTTTTAAATTTGCAGGACCATAACCGTTGTATTCATATTCATTTTTGTGCCGAGTGGTTGGAAGAGGATAACCACCAAATGAATCACACTGTACACTCTTTCTGTTACTCTTATAGGGTTTAAGAACTTCCATGAAAATTTGGCAAAAGAGATATCTGTTAAGTGTTTGCCATCACAGGCCATTTGTTATTGTTTCTCACACCAAATTAATTCTCATTTTGGAAACTACAATTCAATATTGAAGTGTTTGAGTTTCTTTCTGTTTTCATTCTATTAGATCACTGTGATTGCGATGGTGCTTCAATGGAGTAGGACCCTAGGTCAAATGTACAGGGTAGGGAGGCAGAAGAAGTCAGAAGTGGTTAGAGATGTATATAGTTTTTGGTTCCAGAGTATTTCTAGGGTTCCATCTTTTGAGGTGCCAATAGCTCCAGGTTCTACCAGAAAGAGTTATGCAGCTAAATCAGAGGTAGAAATTAGTAAATTTATAAACTATCAACCTTTTTCTTTTGAACCTACATTTTTTTCTTTTTTGTAAATGTAGGGGCAAGCTTTGGAGCAACTGGTACGGTAACTTTCCCTTCATGCTGATGTATTTTTCTTTTCGAAGTATATAATATTTATATACGGCAAATGAACTCACATGCCCTCCTAATATTTGGTGAGGTTTGAACCCCTAACCTCCTGGGCAACCCAACTACTGCTAGGCCAAATTCCTTTTGGTAGTATAAGCATGCTCTTTGCAAAATGCAAAAGAAAGACCCTTCCCGACCTTTCCAGAGCAAAGTAGCCTTGGGGCATCACGGTCGACCTATTATTATCATTATCCTTGTGCAATTACTTCTTTAAAATGTCGGCTTCGTGGCTCTTGTTGCTATGAAGCTCATAATTTTGTGCTTAAGGGTATGCTTGAGCAAAAATGTTGGGCCAATCATCAAACACGTGCACGTAAGACTGGTTAAGCATAATTTTGATTGTTGAGGTGGATATGTGGTTGCACAATAAGAGGGATATACGGTCAGAAATGAGGACACATGGGAGAAGGTTAAACCTACCAGTATGAGTAAATTACTTGTACTTTTAACCGTGGAACAGATGGATTAGTATTTATTTCAGGTTTCTAGTAGATAAGGAGCATCATAAACATCATTCTGACTTGTAATGCCTGCATGACACTCTGGATTTCTCTTCCAGATTTTTAAGAGTCCGATAAATGATTATTTAGTTTGGTTTCTGAGGAGTCTCGTATATATGTAATATTGCATATGGAATTATTAAACCCACATGTAAGTTGGAGTAGGCATTTGCATGATCTGGAGGACTTGTTGGGTGAAAGATACACGATATGATGGTTGTTAGAAGTAAGTGGACTAGGCGTTGTTGGTCTACATGATTGAGACATCAAGTGATGGTTATTCTCTTGATTTAACTTCTATATGTTACTGTTCGTAGTAATTGTTCCAAATTTTGTGTAGATTAATTTTGGCTTTTTGAGTAATCAACAAGATTTTGTACTATTCAAGGTTGTCAACTTGCTTACTTGTGATGATTAGGGTGCAGTGATTTTCACAGGTAAATTTGAACAAGATGTTCCGTGCCAAGCCGAGGTCATTGGCCTTGCCACCTGGATCCTCGAAGAGGATTAACGAGCCTAATTATGAGGGTATCCGCCGATTTATCCTCAGATTGATGCTCTTTTATAGTAAACAGAGCACGTCTATTCGAGCAGCAAATGTTATATATCGCCGTGTTATTTCTCAAGTTGATAAACCGTCAGTTTATGATGGTTAGCATTTTCTTATTATCATGATGATGATACACAATCTTTTACCTCAACGTTCTGATTAAATTAAGTTGGTTTATACTTTAAACTAGGCTTTATCCATCCCCTTTTCCATAGCCAAGTTAGTATGTTGACCATGCATTTGTTTGTTGTATTTATCTAGGCTATTGGTTCCAAAACTTGATCTTTCCATAACAAAGGTGCTGATTGTATAACAGTTCCAAAGATTGATCAAGTACTATAACTACAACACATGGTTTAGAAGATTTCAGTAACTTGCTTCCATCTAGAGTCTAGACTGTCGTATTTCTATTTTGATCTCTTATTAGAAATAACCAAATGAAGATCTATTTGCATATAATGTTTGCCTTTGTTTGTGTGATTCCAGCAAAACTTATTGTAGCAAATGAATTATGAGGAAAATTCTAGTGTTTTTGCTAGAAAGTAGATGATCTAATGCAGAAATTTCTCCTTCACATGCAGTTCTTTGCTTGGAGAAGACCTTTAGAACCACATTCTCCATGCTCATGTTATACATGTGGCTCTGTTTGCGCCGCTTGAAAGTGGAAGGAAAGGAAGGTGTTGAACTGGGACAGTATGTGTATGAGATATATAATCATGATTTAGAGATGAGGGTTTCTAAAGCTGGGGTTAGTAATCTATGTTGATGATTTTTGTGCACTAAATTTCCTTTGTTGTTGCCGATTGAGCTCTCATAGTAGTTGGTTTGCGGAAAATATTTTGTTGTTCAACTTAGCTTAGCGGGCTCAATATCTGATTTCAAACACATCCTGAGGAGAGTATTTGACTGTTTCGTAAATAAACTTACTTTTTTTTTATTAACCTGGATATCCAACCCGCTATGCAAGCCGACTAATCCCAGGGCAACCACTTGCTTTGCAAATAGCCCGGAGTCGCCGCATTTGAACCTCCGTGGCCACAAGGGGATTTTTATTCCTCCTTGGATTTGAACGTGGGATCTCCAGGTACTTTTGACCTTTGGAACCAAGCTCAAACCAATCAGGCACCACCCTTGTGGTTAAATAAACTTACTTTTAGTTAGCATATCGATGAATGTGAACGGCAATTACAACGAAAAAGGGAGGAAAGCTTCTAACCATTAAGGTATGGATCAGCCATCAGTGCCCAGCAGTGTCTTGACCCCTGTCCAGCTTTTGGACAAGGATAAATTGGGTCTTTTTAATGCCATGAACGAGCGAGATATAAGTATATTTGCATCTATAGACATCCAAAAATGCAAAAATGCAATCTTTGAACCTATTCTGAGATGAAGGGTCTTCGAGTGTTCCTTTCTTTTATCTCTGTTTGCTGCACGTGCATCTTTTCTTAAATGTTGAGTATCTGTTTCTGGTCATCTCCCAGAACTTAAAAATCAGTGATATAATTCCTACTCCCATTGGAATGCAGGTTAATTTGCTGCTGTCTAAATGGATGAGAGAGTTGGAAAAAGTATTTTATGGTAATATTGTTGCTTATGACACTGCCATGCTTCCAGAAGCTAAACCGGATGAATTGCAAAATGCAATATGGAAGTAAGACATTCACTAAATGTTACTACTAGCACTTGCTTCTGCACAATCTTACCTCTTTTTAGTGCACAATTTTTCTGTGACATCTTCTTCTAAGTACTTAATATAGTAGCGAGTAAACTCTGTGGTTATTAACATACTCAATTTAATTAAAATGTCTAAGCTGATTTTGCATGTAAATGAGCAAAATGTGAACAAGGGATTCAAATCTTTACATTCAACACTGAACCAAATAGACCAAAATTGCCCTAAGGCTGAGCTCGCATGGTAGAAGTGAATGATGCAGCTCTAAGTCTTGAACTTTTGACACAAAAGATCAAAGATGGATTCGATAGTAGACAAGGAATTGGATAGTTGAATAGACATGCGACCATAGTTGAAGACATGTCAATAGTCACTGGGTGGTTATAGACAGAATGATGCACATATGAATGAAGTGTCTTGGAAAGAAAATAGTAAGAACAGATATATGTACTCGAGGGATGTTTGTTTAAAATGAATATAATCAAAAGAAGGGGTAAAGAGAAAAAGAGATATAAAGACGATTTGAGGGACTCTTTCTTTGAAAAGGTTCATGGGTGTGAGAAGGACTTCTATTGAAATAAGAGTTTACCCATTGATTTTCTATCCGTTTTGCAGTCCGCTCTCGTTTCCTAATTATCTTTGCATCTGCTGTAGGAATGTATTCTCCGATGATGGTTCACCAACATATGATGCTACTGCATTACCAGCTGTCCTGGCAAGTTTTCACCTCTGCTATAATATCAGCGGTAGTTGGGACATGAAATTGCATCTCTTTTTTCACTTTTGCAAGATGCAACAAAACATGTCTTCTCCAATACTTGCATGGGGGAGGTTCATTTGAGAAGCGTGAGAACCAACTATTCATAAAATATTCATGATAGATATTCATAATACTCCGAGATGAATATCATGAATAATGAGAATGTGTGATATCCATTATCAATGATATTAATGAATATTTAGGTATATTCATATGAATAATCCATTAATAGTTGGTTCCCATGGTTTTCAGAATATATATGGTTCTGTGGTGTCATGAAGTGTAGTTAGTGTCTTTTACTTGTTCCATTCTTTATATTATGAAACTGATGTGGTACTTTGGCCTTTTTGAGTTGGCTAACAGGAGCTGCTTGAATTTGTTTTTACAATTTTCAGGCTTTCTCAAGATATGTCCGGCGAGAATGCACTTGCTTGTCATTGACAGGTAGATCACATACATTTTCTCGTATGGATTGCTTTGCTTTCGTTGTGCATATCTGTGTCAATATGATTTATTATTATGCTTTATGCTTTGAACAAAAACAACGTTCGACTCAACAAAACTAGCAGTAGAAAGTTATTTGTAGCCACCTCCAATTGTTTGTCACAACAATAAAAAGATGCATAAATAATTTTGACTTGTTTAGTCTGGTTGAATTTATTCGAGGGATTTGGATTTCATGGAAGGATTTGGTGCGTTTGGTTTGTAAAATTTGGAATGGAATTGAATTCCATTCTTTATAGATAATTTATAAAACAAATTTAATTATCTTTTATTAATTGATTCTTAATGTTTTTAACATATAATAAAATATTACTACAAACAAAATCTATGAAATACCAACTATTTCATGGATCTCTCAATCCAATGTTTGTGGAGATTTCAATTCCAGATTTTCTTTTAAACCAAACGTGGGATCAGAATAGAACCAATTCCAAATCCCATTAAATCCTGCAAACCAAACGGGCCCTTAGGAAATGCTAACAACTCCCATAGAATGTTCCTAAACTGGAAATTGTTGCAACTTTAATACGATAGAGGCTGTGTTATGTCGTTACTATTGAATTTGTTTGGTTTATGAAATTCGAAATTGACAATGTGATTGTGATATGCAGATAAAGAATCAATGTTCTCCGGCAACTTCATGTTCACCCCTCTGGAGAACCCGAATGTCTAAGATGGCATTCTAGCACCAACTCAAGGTTGTTGTCAAGTGGCATCGCAGCATAAACGGACCCTTGCCAAACAACCAATTTTATCAAGCCAATGCCATGGCTTGTGCTTCAATCTTGATCTTGATCTGAGTTATGAGTTCGAGTTCTATTCGTTTGTATTACTCTAGAATGTCATCAGGGATGTAAAAACCGAGGGAGTTTTTTAATATACAAAATATAGGAAGATATTTCGATAAAAATTAAAAATAATGTGCCCATTCAACACAAAAAAATCACAAATCAATAAAACACGCTGCACAGAATGAAATTGTTTGTTGCAAAATAAATGGTAACATCTACACATATATTTTCTGAAGTTACACTCTGCCCCCTAAGGAATCTTCAATAATGCTCCAGTAACCTCAAGTATTCCTGTAAGTGAAAGACAGTCCCTCTAGTCCCTGAAGATTCAACATGTTCCAAAACAACCCTTCAGGTTCAATAAATGACTCGTTCACTCCTGAAACAAATACGGGTTTAAGTTAGACTAAGACACACTAGCGACAAGATTGAAGACCAAACACTTGCTAAAAAAAAAACCTAAAAAACATCTTAATACTATAATAGTAATGAAATAACGTATTTATTTATTATAATATAATAATTTTGAAAATACAATATTGTAATAAGAAAGTCACATTACTATAATAGATGCTATAATAAAATAATTTTGAAAGTACAATGTTGTAATAAGAAAGTCACATCAATATAGTACATGTGGATAGCCTACGTGGATAATGAGGTGGCATGAAAACCTGGTATAATAGGGAAATTTAAATCAAAAAGTTGTCCAATGCTATAATAGGTAAAAAAAATTCAAAATACAATGTTCTAATAAAAAATAATTTCAAAGTACATTGTTGTAATAAGAAAAACTAGAAGTACAACAATACTATAATAAAAAAATTTATGAAAATAGATTGCTATTTTGTAAATTTTGCCCTTTAATCATATTCAAATTATTCAATGTTTTAGGACAAACAAATACCAACATAAATACACCAACCAAATAATTAAAGAAGCAGAAAGTACAACAACTCAATGCAGTGATTTTGGTTGTGTCGACCAATTTATCCCAAAAAAATAGCTCTGGTCATAATTTATCGTCACAAAACTATATAAACAAAACGTTAATTCCGTTGAGAAATTCATCTCCTCACCTCGCCTACCGGCTAACCAGACCGGAGCTTCCCTCGGACTGCTCAGCCGATGGCGATTGGCAGCCATATTCAACCATTGTTCTAACTTCTTGGAATCAACACAAGGTCAAAACGACAATCTAGAGCTCTCTAACCTCTCAGATTTTTGTCGTTTTGATCTTATAAAAAACATGGATTTTCTAGGATTCACCATGTTCTTGTGTCTTGTTTCCGTGGCTTTCTGTCAAAAAACCATGGATATCGACATCGATCTCCTTCCGAGACCTTTGATCATCGAATACCCAGAACACCGACTGAAGAACATGACGGAGGAGCTTCATATGCAATGCACGAGTTGGAGAGTCGCGGGTGAATCGAATAATTTGAGTCCATGGAGAACGATTCCAGTGGAATGCGCAGATTACGTGAAAGCGTACATGTTGGGTCGGTCGTATAATTTTGATCTTGAAATGGTTTCGAAGGAGGCTGGAGTTTATGCCAAGAGCCTGCAATTGAAGGATGATGGAATGGATGCTTGGATTTTCGATGTCGATGAGACCTTGCTCTCGAATCTTCCCTATTACTCCGAACATGGTTTTGGGTATCTTCATTTGCCACCTTTTTATTCAAGAAATCTTGATTTTCTATCTTCATTTGCCACCTTTTTATTCAAGAACTCCTGATTTTCTACCATCAAGATTTTTTTTTTCAAGAAATCTTGATTTGCCATCATCAAGATTTTGATTCAAGAAATTTGGGTGAAATATTTTGAATGATTCAAGAAATCTTGATATGCCACCATCAAGATTTTTTGATTGAAGAAATTTGGGTGGAAACTTCGGAATTATGATTCAAGAAATCTTGATATGCACATCATGGTTATGATTCAAGAAATTTTGGTGAAAACTTTGAAGTGATTCAAGAAATCTTGATAAGCCATCATCAAGATTTTGAATGATTCAAGAAATCATGATATGCCACCATCAAGATTTTATTGTAGAAATGTGGGTGAAAACTTTTGCATGGTTTAAGAAATCTTGATATGCCACCATCATGGTTTTGGTTCAAGAAAATTTGGTGATAACTTTAGAATTCAAGAAATCTTGATTTGCCACCATCAACTTCAAGATGTGATTCAAGAAATCTTGATTTTGCCACGCACCATCAAGAACTGGCTTCGAATTTCCCCCCCTTTTCCCCACTGTTTTGAATATTCTTGTAACAAGATGGACGGATTGTAATTCTCTCAAGAATCTTCTTTCGTCTTGTTATGTTCTCTACCAAAAACAATGAGCGATTTGTCTGATACGTTCGTGTTCGGGATTTATGTAGGTTGGAAGCTTTCAATAGTGCCCAATTCGACAAATGGGTACTCGAAGGGGTGGCACCAGTGATCGAACCCAGTTTGAAGCTATACGAAGAGGTTTTAAGGCTCGGGATCAAGATCATCCTGTTGACAGGACGCAATGAGGACAAAAGGAACGTTACCGTTACAAATCTAATGAATGTTGGATACCACAAATGGGACCAACTCATTTTAAGGTATGTTCTTTCACTCTTTCCATAATCCATAAACAAGTTCTCTAAGTTGCATCCTCAAATCTCACAGAGGTGACAATGACCATGGAAAATCAGCCATTGCATTTAAGTCAGAAAAGAGGAAAGAGATTATGATGGAGGGATTTCGGATTATCGGAAACTCGGGTGATCAATGGAGCGATTTAGTAGGTAATTCAACAGCCAGCAGATCGTTTAAACTTTCGAATCCGATGTATCATATACCTTGATATGTTGTACATGGTACATTACTACATGCTACTTACAAAAGTCATGGTACATATGTAATTTTGTTTGTTCTTTTCTAAGTATGAAAAAGTTTTTTAAGGATTAACTTCGTCTTCGTTGCACGCGCTAGTCATTGATGTGTTACTTCTCGTTATTTTAGGGGTGTTACACATAGTTGACGCACCGGGTTTTTTATAATCCGAAATCCCTTTCTCTCGTCTTTTCTGACATAAATGCAAGTGCGGATTTTACATGGCCGTGATTACGCATGTGAATTTCGAAAATATGATTTCATGGAACTTGTTTTTGTAGTCTCAAAAGAGTACACAAATCTTAAGACCTACCTTAATCGAGTTGGCCCGTTTTAGCCTTATATTTGTAACGGTAACGTTCGTTTTGTTCTCAATGCGTCCCGTCAACAAGAAATCATGATCCCAAGCCGTAAAACCTTCTCGTGCAGCTCCAAACTAGATTTGACATCCATATGTTTTCTAGAAAGGTTTACGATGCATCCATATTGTTTCAAGAATAATATTCAAATTAATTGGAAAAAGTGGGGAATTCGTCAACCGGTTCTTAATGGTGGCAAATCTGGATTTCTTGAATCAAGATTTCTTAATGGCGGCAAATCAAGATTTCTTGAATCAAGATTTCTTGAGGGTGGCAAATCTAGATTTCTTGAATCTAGATTTCTTCAGGGTGGCAAATCAAGATTTCTTAAATGAAGATTTCTTCAGGGTGGCAAATCAATATTTCTTAATGGTGGCAAATCTAGATTTCTTGAATCAATATTTCTTCATGGTGGCAAATCAAGATATCTTAATGGTGGCAAATCTAGATTTCTTGAATCAAGATTTCTTCATGATGGCAAATCAAGATTTCTTGAACCAAGATTTGTTAACGGTGGCATATCAAGATTTCTTGAATCAAAATATTGATGGTGGCAAATAAAGATTTCTTGAATCGGTCTTGATGGTGGCAAATAAAGATTTCTTGAATGGGTCTTGATGGTAGTCGGTGGAAACTCATGATTGGTTTAATCGATGAACCATAAGGAAAAGACCTATAGCACCCAAAACACGATGTTCATAGTAATAGGGAAGATTCGAGAGCAAGGGGTTTCATCGATGTCGAAAATCCAAGGATCTTAGGCACGAACAACAAATCATCGTAGATCGTTGAAGCGTATTACCTTAAGAATTGAAACCTACGCAAAATGGTTCGAAAACCATGTGAAAATTGAAGGTTGATGTCGCCATTTAATGGACGCGACTCAAGAGTCGTTTAGAGCATCTCCCCAACTAGGGTTATCAATGGGGATCGGAAACTCATATAAAGGCTTTTTCAATGTAATTTTCATTTTTGCACCTTCCTTTTAATCATATGTTCATTTTGCACCTTACTTTTAATCATATGTTCATTTTATACCCTTGTCATTATAACAAAACTAAATATATTTTATAACACTAGAACGATACTCACACAATGCAGCGAGATATATCTCGATTTAATGTTTCATTTTATTTATTTTTGTCTCAGTCGATGTTATAATACGGTTTTTTTATGTGATTTTGAGAAAACAATAATGTTTTTATTTTTCAATAAATATAAATATGAAGATATCATAAAAAAAATTTAAAAAATGATATTAGTATCAAACTAACTATTTAATTTTTTTTTTTTGTATATCTCTTTAATTCATTTTTTTATTTTTGGTTTAATAATATAAATTTTTATAAATATAATATTAATTATTCTGTTAGAACTTAATGATTATCTTAATTATATTTCAGATTTTTTATATTTAAAATGATATGTTTATCCTTTATTTGATTACGTTTATTCGCAGTTAGTTAGACGAATTCAAACATGAAACTTTAGTAAATTGTACTTAGATATAATTTACTTGTAATATTGAATTTTAAGTAATATGCATTAATAAACAGTATTTTATGCATAATAAACGGTTTTTAAAAGTTATTGTCAAATGTTTTATAATATAGTATAGATACATTGGTAAAAAGTTTTCATCAAGACGATAAAAAAATGACTGGTATCGAATACCTAAAAAATATAATATATTCATCGTCTTTTATTTTTTTAACGAATTGATTTTTTTATGAACACGACAAATGAACAACTAATGTATAATAAAGTGTTGTGTGACAATTAAATTCAATAATATTTTTTTTCCATTTACAGTTTGCATTCAATGTATTAATTAACATATATTCGTTTCACAATGTGGACATATCTTTATGTGTTTATGAAACAAAAAACAAAAATATAACTAAAAAGTTCCACTTATGATGTTACTGTTGGATGGTTTCGGAAATCACCGAACGAAAATGTCAATTTACTCTAAAATAAAACGGTTGTGATGTTTAATATTGGATGGGTTTCAATGTTTTAGTAAATAATCAGATAAAAAAGACAAAATCCCTCTCACTTAAATAACTAAAATAAAACGGTTGTGATTTTAATGTTTCGTTTTCTATTTTGGCTCTATCGATATTATAATGTGATTTTATATGGTTTTGAGAAAACGAAAATGTTTTTTTGAATAAATATAAGTTTGAAAGAAATAATCGGTATTAATATCAAATTAACTATTTAAAGGTTATGTTGTGTAATTTCCTTAATTCAATTTTTTAATATAATTTAATTGAATTTAATAATGAACTAATTTATTTTTGGTTTAAGATAATAATTAAGCATTCTTTTAGAACTCAATGATTATCTTAATTATATTTTAGATTTTTTTATATTTAAAATGATGTTTATCATGTATTTGATTGTGTTTATCTACAGTTAGTTACACGAATTCAAATGTGGAGCTTTAATAAGATGTACTCATGCATATTCTACTTGTAATCTTGAATTTTTTAAGAAATATGCATTAACAAATATTACTTCATGTATAAAAAACAATTTTTAAGAGTTTTTGTCAAATAATTTATAATATAGTATAGATATCATATATGTGATTCGTGAGATACTTAATTTTTTTTATTTATCCAATTAAATAAATTAGGATTTGCTAAATGGTACAAATTTAATTGCAAAATATCAACAAGAAATTTCGTAAAACATCCAAAATTCAAACAGATAATATTTGAATGCGGATTTGCATAACGATAGGCTTGAAAATTTAGAGACGTAATAAGATAACGAAATAATTATGTTATTTGGATTTAGTGTTGGTTATCTTTTAATTGTAACACGTTTGTTTCCTGTAAGGTCATTGGGGGTTTTTGATTGTTTTATGGGGCTCCTGGTATTAGTCGAGGTGATTGCAAGTTGGCATGAACACGTTTCGCTAAAAAAATGAAAAAAAAAAAAAACTAATGATTAGAAGGTTTGGAAACATTTGTTACTTGTGTTCGATGAATATTTCATATAAAAGCTTCTATTTCGTATCGTAGGACGCACAAATCCAATTCGAATCAACACTGATAGCAATTGATGGTTGGAATCAACATGCAGAGTCATCGTTGGTAGCTCAGAATTCAATTATATATTACTAAATCATTGAAATTAAATGCTTAGAAGATAAAACCAGTATTTTACTAAATACATGCTATTACAATTAATACTATAATTTTTAAAAAATATATATTAATTTTAATATTTTTTAATTTTTAATTTTTTATTTGTTTGAAGATGAATCTTATTTTAGAAATGGATTGGGCCTTCAGCAGCTGGGTCAGACTCTTTAGGATCATGTTGGGCTTCTTTCGTGAATTTGACCCATTAACTAGTTTTTTTTTTTCCTTCATTGATTTGATTTAATATTTATTATTATATAATTACTTGGTTAAATGATTATAAAAATTCAAGTCATATTACAAGTTATTATAATGTTTTTTTTTCACTCATCCATTATTAATTAAAATTTTCAGAA